GGGGAGGCGGGGAGGAGCCACTTCCCTCCCTCGACGGGCGGAGGCCCGGCTGCCCGGAACCCGGCGTCCGGACCTCTGAATCACCGGGAAAAAAGAAGTAATCGAGGCCGGAAAGAAACCCAGCGGGGGGAGCTTCTGACCTCACCTCCCCTGTCAGCCGCCGGGAAAGCGGCACCCCACCACCCGACAGTCCGCCTCAACGGCCGCGGCCTGTAAAACCGACGGCGGCCGGAGCCTCAAATCACGAAGAAACCCGGACCCGCGAATGCGAACTTACCCAAAGCCGGAGTTTCAGGCCGTTTTTCGGACCACCGCGCCGCCGCTGTTGCCCAGTGAAGAGCTGCAGTTGGCGAGCTAAGGGACGATACTACCCCAACGAACGACCAAACCGCTCTGCGCTCCAAAGCCCCCGACGCCTCCTCATTTATACTCACGCTTCACGCTGCGTCTCTACGTCATAGAACCCTTATTTGCATACACCAACGACTTTTTCTATTGGCGGGCGCCTTCGCGGACGCTCTGACATCTCCCGACACAAAGGCCGTGCTTCGGCCCTGTTCCCTGATTGGTGAAAACTTAGGTCGCTGATTGGCTGTTAAAGTTGCTTTGTGATTGGACAGATGCAAAGAGGAATGGACAAATCAGAGTTTAGCACTAAGCTGTCCTTCTGATTGGATAAAATGGAGCTATGTTTGGATCCTTCCCTTGGTTCCAAAGCTCTACACTAGAAAGTCAATGCAAATGAATTGCGTTAGTGCCTATCTGGATTAGAGAAACTCAGGATAGGCAGGAGTGTAAGCTTATTTGTATCCAGCTAATGCCATGCAGGAGGAGATGCTATTTAAAAGAAAATTTTGTAAATATTTTCCAGTGTGAAATAAAATGTATTCCCTGGCTTATTTTCTTTTCATGACTTGATTTTGATTAAGTACCTAGTGTAAGAATAGGAATTTCAGTAATTATGAAATTATATTAAGTACAGCATTTTATATAGAGTGCATACAGTTTTAGCCAAAAAGAAGTTCTTTTGTGGGAGGAATAACAGAAATAAATGTAAAGAAATGATTTTGGAAGTTCTTTTTTTGTATGTTTATTTTGGACTATCTTAAAATATTTTGTGACTTTAATATGTTTAAAGTTAAACAGGAAGTTACTTATTTGGCAACAAATTCTTAAATTATGTAACTCAACTGAATACAGCAGGAAAGAATGTATGTCCATAGAGAATAAGCAAAAGACAATTAAATGGGTCAGACACCATGGTTCATGCCTTGTAATGCCAGATGCTCATGTGTGGAGTGGGAAGATCAAGGTTTGAAGCCATCAAGAAGATGGGTGGGGGAAGAAGAGTGGTAACAAGATCCCATCTCCGTCTAGGCAGAGTCAAAAAAGTGAGACTTACCCTGAAAAAGAACTAAAGGGCTGAATATGTGGCTCTAAAGGTAGATTCCTTTTCTGGCAAATTAAGGACTGGAGTTCAACTCCTAGTACACTAAACAAACAAACAAACAGCTGACATTAGTGGCTCATGCCTGTAATCCTAGCTACTCAGCAGGATGGATCAGAGGCTCAAGGTTTAAAGCCATCCTACACAGAAAAATATGAGATACTTCATTTCAATTAACCAGCAAAATGCTGGAGGGATGACTCAGTGGTAGAGTGTCAGTTGTGAGCAAGCCGATAGAGCCCTAGGCCCTGAGTTTCAGCCCCAGTACTAACACAAAACACACACACACACACCAATCTAAATATGTTTGTATTTAATGATATAAATGGGAGATAGTCTGACAAGAAAATGACAAATGTGTAAAGTGTTAATTTCTGGAGCGCATGCCTTGCATGCCAGAGGGCCTGGGTTCGATTCCTCAGCACCACATAAGCAAAAAGAAAAAAGCCGGAAGTGGCGCTGTGGCTCAAGTGGTAGAGCGCTAGCCTTGAGCTGATAGAGCTGAGGGACAGCGCCCAGGCCCAGAGTTCAGGCCCCATGACTGGACCCCAAAAAATAAATAAATAAAAAAGCTTAGGGTTAAGGCTGGGTTCTGGTGGCTCATGCCTACAATCCTAGCAACTCAGGAGGCTGAGATCTGAGGATCACAGTTTGAAGCCAGCCTGGGTGGGAAAGTCTGTGAAACTTTTTTTGGGGGGGGGTCAGTTGTGGGGCCTGAATTCTTGGCCTAATTGCTTTGCTGTCCCTGAGCTCTTCAGCTGAATGAAAACACTCTCCTACTTTAAGCCACAGGGCTACTGCTAGTTTTCTGGTGGTTAATTGGGAGATAAGAATCTCACAGACCTCAAGTGGTACAGCGCTAGCCTTGAGCTGAAGAGCTGAGGGACAGCGCCCAGGCCCAGAGTTCAGGCCCCACGACTGGACCCAAAAAAAAAAAAAAAAGAATCTCACAGACTTGGGGCTGGGAAGGTGGCTCAGTGGTAGAGCGCTTGCCTTGCATGCCTGAGGCCCTGGGTTCGATTCCTCAGCACCACATAAGCAAAAAGAAAAAAGCAGTGTAGAGCGCTTGCCTTGCATGCCTGAGGCCCTGGGTTCGATTCCTCAGCACCACATAAGCTGCTTATCCTCAGGCATGCAAGGCAAGCCCTCTACCACTGAGCCACCTTCCCAGCCCCCCTGGCTAGCTTTGAACTGCAACCTTCAGATCTCAGCCTCCTGAGTAGCTGGGATTACAGGCTTGAGCCACCAGCAGCAGGCTTGTTAAATTCTTTTTTTTTTTTTTTAATTTTATTTTGTTTGTGAACATACTGTACAGAGGGGTTACAATTGCATGGGCAGGATAATGCGTACATTTCTTACCAAGCATTGAAGCCGCCTCCTTTGTTTACCCTTCCCATCCCTTCCCAGCCTCCCCCATCCCACCCAGGCTTGTTAAATTCTTATCTCCAATAAACTACTCAGAAAAAGCTGGAAGTGGTGCTTTGTCTCAAGTGGTAGAAAACTAGCCTTGAGCACGAACAGGCTCAGGGATTGTGCTCAGGCTTGGAGTTCAAGTGCTGGGCCAAACAAAAAAATAAAGTAAAATAAAAAGCTTAAGACAAGCTAAACAAATCCCGGAAAAGTGAAACAGCTGGTCTATTTTTCTGCCTCAGTCTCCTCAATGCTGGGATTACAGGTATAACCCATCGCCTCCTACTAATGTCTGCAAGTATTCAGGGGAAAAGAATGATTTGGGTAACCAGGATTACAGACAGGAGTCTCCAGCAATTGGCTTAATTTATTTATTTTTGTTTGTTTGTGGTCCTGGAGAATCAAATCGAGAACCTTTAAGTGCTAGTTAAGTGTTCTACCACAGACCTACACCCAACCTCTCAGCTGATAATCTCATCAACTTTAATTTCTGCCTTCTCAAAATTTGGAGTAGGGACAAAAATCACAGTTTAATTCACACTGTAACCAAGAAGATAAACCAAGATGGAGGCTCTTGCTAAGTTTGCAAAATCTACAAAAAGTTGGCTGGGAATGTGGCTTAGTGGTAAAATGATTACATAGCGTGAAGCCCTGGGGTTCCATTCCTCAGCACCACATAAGCAGAAAGAGCCCGAAGTGGTGCTGTGGCTCAAATGGTAGAGTGCTAGGCTTCAGCAAAAGAAGCTCAAGGACAGTGCTCAGGTCCCAAGTTCAAGCCCTAGGATTGGCCAAAAAGAAAAAAAAAATCACGAAAAGCTAAGAAATGGAAATTTTGTTGTGGTGGTGGTCGTGGGGCTTGAACTCTGGGCCTGATTGCTGTCCTTTGGCTCTTCACCTCAAGGCTAGGACTCTACCACTTGAGTCACAGCACCACTTCTAGCTTTTTATGTGGTGCTGTAGAATGAAACCCAGGTCCTCATGCATGTGAGGCATGCACTCTACCACTGAGCCACCTTCCCAGCCCCAAATGGAACTATTTAGACCCACATAGGTAACAAATGTTCTGGGAAGCAGCCAGGGTTGGTTTCTTTCTTTCCTCCCTTCCCTCCCTCTTTCCTCCTTCCCTTGATCCCCTTCCTCCCTCCCTCCCCCCTTCTATTTTGGATTGCTCTTTGGAAGTACAGGCACCTAAACTAACTACACACATCCTTTTTGTATTTCTTGTGTTTTTAAGTTTTTCTAGGATATCCAGAGACCTGTCATTTCCATGCTTCCAAAGGAAGTACAACTCCACTTCCTGCCCAGTTTTCCTAATTATTAAAGAGAAACTAAAACTTGCTGTAGGAGAAACAAGGTACAGATTTATATTTATCCATTTAAAGTTGATTAGTGGAAACAACTTGTCCCCCTTACTTGGTAGTCTCATAAGGATTTTCCTTTTCCTAGTAAGTACAATCAAAACAAAAGCAAGCCAGGTACAATCAAAACAAAAGCAAGCCAGGCAAAAAAGCAAGCAGGCAGCCGGGCACTGGTGGCTCATGCCTGTCAGCCTAGCTACTCAGGAGGCTAAGATCTGAGGATCACAGTTCAAAGCCAGCGCGGGCAGAAAACTCCATGAGACTCTTATCTGCAATTAACCACCAGAAAACTGGAAGTGGTGCTGCTCAAGTGGTAGAGCGCTCGCCTTGAGCTGAAGATCCTTGAGCTGAAGAGTGCAGGGATGGCGCCAACCCCAGAGTTCAAGCCCCATGACCGACCAAAAAAAAAGCAAGAAGGGCATGGTGGCTCACACCTGTATTCTAACTACTCAGGAGGCTGAGATCTGAGGATCACAGTTTGAAGCCAGCTGGAGCAGAAAGTCTTTTGAAATTTTTTTCCTCCAATTAAACACCAATGTGGCTCAACTGGTAGAGCACCAGCCTTGAACAAAAAAGCTAAGGGACAACCTCAGGCCCTAAGTTCAAAGCCCCAGTACCAATACAAGTAGAAGAAAAAAAAAAAGCAGGCAAATATGCCGGGGTTGAGCGGTAGAATGTTTGTCTGAGGTGAGGCCCTGGGTTCAATCCCTAACACTACACAAACAAAGCACAGCATAGTAAATATGACACAGCATAGGTTATTCTCCTAGTTTCTGTTCTGTTTTCAATTTGCTGAGGAACTTTGTGAAAATTACTTGTTTCCCCTGAGTTTTGTTTCTTCTGTAAATTAAACATCTTATCATCTCCTAATTCCACCATTACAAGTTTCGTGTGGAACCCAGTGCTGTGAACTGTATTTCTGCATACTTCGGTAATTCAGGAATAACACATAAACCAATCACTTGAATTTAGATATAGGATTATAGTAACACACTAGAGCTTCTACTTATCATTTTGGAATTTTGCATCTTTAAAAGGCCCTAGTTGCTAAATAATTGATTTGGCATGATTAGGAAATACTAGTTTCTCAACATTGCAAGCTGACAATTTGGCTTCCCAATGTGACAAGTTACTGGAAACTTAAAAATTAAGTTCCCATTCATTCCATCCTCCCTAATTTCATCTAATACAATACT